GTGCACAAACCTTTGCATATGAGTGTATTAATGGAGGGTATTAATCTCCTTCCCTCCCCAGTTCATACAGTCCATATGTGGAAACTAAGCTGCAAAAAACTGCCCATTTTGAATTCATTGCTTTTGTGATGTCACTGAAATCTCATTTACATATGTCCACATATACAGCGAACAGCAATTTAGCCTTTCCTACTTCTGCTTGAGTTATAATGAGTGTTTCAGCTTCTGCGTTTTGAATGAGACACAGTACATAGCAGCTAGTCAGAATAGAGCTCATTTGCATGTATCAGACTTAAAGGCACAGTAACAAAAATAGCCTGTTTAATTCTAAGGATTAAAGAGATGAAGAGAGGTTGGAAAAATGGTCATATAAAAATAAAATATGACTGATTTTGGTAGTTAAAACCAGTTTTGAAAAAAAGTCACTTTTATCTTTCAGGTGAATGTAGAGACATGCTGTTGCCGAGATGACCAAAGGCATGTTCTGCAGGAGTTCTACAGAATGTCTTATGTTGTGCATTATTGCTAGTTTCTTTGCAGAAGTAATGCAGAGGAATCTGTTCCTCTCTCACATCCCGTATGCACCCACTCTGACTCACAGATTGCAAAACTGTTACGAAATGACTGCGGCTCATTTGAGAAGAAATTTTAAGATTACTGCAAAAGCTATATTCATCTGCACTCTTATTTAAATGCATAGAGTGTTGTGCAAATATCAGATGCCACCCTTCATTGGTATAGCTGTCAAACCAGCCATTAAGCCCTTAAGTCGCTGCGCTCACCAGCAGGCCCAAAGTTTCATTACACACTTCTGTAACTTAAGAATAGCTCAACCAGAGGTAGTCCATTTGCAGAAGAACTCCTGCCAACAATCAGAGGTGGCAGCCACATCTCCTGAAATAGTGGGGCCAAACTTACTTAAAAAAAACAGTCTTGACTTGACAAAATACAGCTAGGCCACTAACTGAGTAACTAAAACTACCTTTCATGAGAGCTGTTGTGATATTGGATCTTTTTCATTTGGTTCGGTTGGTTTCACGCCGCAATGACCAAAGGAGACCAAATACCACATGGGGGTGTTCATTTATTGGTCAGAAATTTTCCAGGGGGTACAATCGCTCTGCTACTCTCACATTTACCACCATGAAAATATAAAAATATAAGTGGAAAGTACAATAAAGATGCTTAATATCTATGTGTGGGACAAACTAAAGCAGTAATAATAACTTAACTTGATATCTGCCTCTTCATGATTAGTTTACCAATTTGCATATAATCAGATTGCTGGTGCTTGGCCAAAAATATGCTGTAAATATGATCTATATGCCAAGATTAAAAGCATATATTTGCTATATATTGCAATTGCTCATCTTGTGTTATTAATAGCAGCTCGTGCTGCAGAAACTACACCGATCAGGCATAACATTATGACCACCTCCTTGTTTCTATGCTCATTGTCCATTTTATCAGCTCCACTTACTATATAGGTGCACTTTGTAGTTCTACAGTTACAGACTGTAGTCCATCTGTTTCTCTGATACTTTGTTAGCCCCCTTTTACCCTGTTCTTCAGTGGTCAGGACCCCCATGGACCCTCACAGAGCAGGTACTGTTTGCGTGGTGGATCATTCTCAGCACTGCAGTAACACTGATGTGGTGGTGGTGTGTTAGTGTGTGTTGCGCTGGTCTGAGTGGATCAGACACAGCAGTGCTGCTGGAGTCACCGTCCAGTTGTTTGGTTCATATATACAGATGAAGTGTTCACACATCAAAATGGACTGAACTAAAGATGTTTTTAAAAAGTTTGATAGGTCTGCACCATACAAGGTAGGTGTGACTGTGACTTTAGTACAGCAAAGTAGCAGTACAAAATATTAAAACTGACATTTGGTAAATTCACACTGTGACCCATAGCAGTAAAGCATGTTTAGGTTAGTGAGCTGCAGCTCCTCTCACGGCACACAAACTCACGAAGGCTTTACTGTTTGGGAATTGTCCCGTCTCTCAGCTGAAATGGAAAATTTGGTTCTGCTAATGAGTTTGACCCTCTATCTGTTAGTGTCCATTGGTCAGTTTAGTCTCTTTATGATATAAGTGTCCTGAAGTCAATTATAAAATGGTGGGTCTTCGTCCAAAAAATGACGAAAAGCTACAGAGAAAACGGGCCTCCTAACAACCACCTGGAAGACCTGGTAGACACCAAAACTGCCCCCATCAGATAAACAGCACTTAAAGCTTTCATCTTTGAGAGAGAGGAGAAAATCAAGCTGCTTCAGATCTGAAAACATCCACAGGTGTTTCTGTCCATCCTTCCACTGTGAGAAGACGACTCAGCGCTGTGGGTCTGAAAGGATGTGTTGCTGTCAAGAAGAACATCAGTGAGAAAAGGAGACGGACACATCAAGCAAAGAAGCTGAGCAATGCAAGGTAAAGGGTGGACACAATCAATCAACCAATCAATCAGCCTTTATTTCTAGTTGGAAGTACATTGAGGGTGGCCCTTATTTACGGTGTAGCTGAGCAAATTACAAGGGATTGAAAAGTTGAAATAAAATTTACGGACTATAACAAATGACAATCAGCAAGACAAAGAGGTTTATTAAAGAAAAATGAAGTAAATAAATGAATTAAAAATTTAAAACAATAGCTCAAATGGGAAACAGGCATACAATATCAATAAGCCATATAATGAAAACACATTAAAGTGAAGTAAAATAACCATTTTAGATAGTGAGCAATACAAAAACTAAAATTTTAGATAAAACAAATTATTAACCAGAACAGAACAGTAAAATAATTAACATCAAATAAAACAGTTGCAAAAAAAAAAATTAAGATAAAATACATACGTACATACATACATCATCTAAACCGCGTATCCTTCTGGGTCGCGGTGGGGTGCCGGAGCCCATCCCAGCCGTCACTGGGCGGAAGGCAGGACACACCCTGGACAGGTCGCCAGTCCATCGCAGTAAGATAAAATAAATTAAAAATAATAATAACAATAAATACTGATATTATATCTTGCTGTTGAGGTCATTTTCTCTTCAACATGTTTGTCTGCTCTTGTCAAATGAGTAACTTGAAATTATTGAAGGCCACACAGTTCTGTATTTTCCTTTATTTTATAGATCTGCCATAATAATCCAACTGAAAATGAACAAGTAAAAGACATGTTTGGTGTCTGAAGTTTACTTCTTCAGATTCTCACTGGAGCTACGAGGCTAACGTAGCTAACAGGTTATACCTCACCAATTAGCGTCATGCTAAGCACACACTGGCCTCAGTCCGTGCTGAGTTGTTATGTAAATCAAGTAGACCTGATCGTGTGGTTTCTCAGGAGCTAATGACGTAGCATGCTAATGGTTCTGCGTCTGTAGACCAGAGTGTTTTGCGGGTCCGCCTTAAATAACTGTATGTATATTGCATTCACTGTAGATGAGAAAGGTAACAGCGCCACTCTGTGCTAAATAAAGTTACTACAGCATAGAAGTCAAGATGACTGACCAAGATTAGGTACTTCGAACACAGAATTATTATTATGTATTCATTCATTTCCACCTTTTTTCTGCAGAATTGCATTACTGACTACCTACATTATTCAGTACAGCTAATTCTGGGTGGTTTGGTGTGAAATGCTACATTCTAGAGAAACAGACCCAGATTTCTTTACAGCGGTGGTGATAGGAACCAGGGGTCGCCATGGCTACAACACAAATATAGCCATTTTATTTCCTGTCCAAAACTACCAGTGAACGAACACGAGTCTTCTGAGAGTTTATATAGAATGTTTATGATGGTAAAATAGTGATAAATATGAAAAAAGAAGTTGGTTTATGATTTTGCCTTTCAAATAGGCTCATAAATAGACTTGAAAACTATCACCAATCAATGTCTCAGACATCCAACAGTGAATTCATAACCATTTTATGTAATAACTTTTTGTGTGGGAGGCATTAAACTCTTCAAACGTATATACAGGTTAAAAGCTAAACAAATTTGCACATCATTTAAAAATATCTATTGAATTTGAATGCAACTCTTATTTCATTGTATTTGAGTATAACTAGTAAACAGCATGTACTGCTACATGCCAAATGTTTCAGTGGGTGACAGGTCTGGACTGCAGGCAGGCCAGTTTAGCACCCAGACTCTATTACTACATAGTCATGCTGTTGTAACACGTGCAGAATATGGTTTGACATTATCTTGCGTCTTTACTTCTGAAAGTCTCAGCCTGTCCGAGATGCTCTTTTTATACAGTCACTTTTTAGCATTATAGAACTTTATTCGTTTTTTGTTGCCCCATCCCAGCTTTTTTGAAACATTTTGCCTGCATCGAATTCAAAATGCACATACAGTTTTGATAAAACAGTAAAATTTAGCATTTTCAACGTTTGAGATGTTGTCTTTGTACTATCTTCAGTCAAATACAGGGTTGAAAAGATTGCGCATCATTGCATTCTGTTTTTATTTATATTATTATATATTATATATTATTAATATATTTTATTAACTTAAGAAGCAGGGTTGTATGAACACCCAGAGTGCCTCATATTTCAAAAACATTCCACTGATCAAATAACTATTCATAATTATAGGCCAAAAATGTTTATGAATAGATAATTTACAGTTTATTCTTTAATATCATTTGCAATTTGTTTACCATATCAAAGCTTTACACCTTAAATAGTGAATAAACAATAAGTTTATGTTTTAATCTGCATCCTAAATATATATATATATATATATATATATATATATATATATATATATATATATATATATTTCTTTTTTAGTATCTGAGTTACTGTTATATGTATTGTATTCTATATATCTATACATCTATGCAGCATAATATATATATATTAATATATACATATGTATACATTTATTATGATATATAGATTTAAATCAAGTAAATTCCATGCATCACTATCTTTAATATAGATGAAAAGCTCAGCGTGTCTGGGACTTCAGCCAGTTCAGGAAGAACTAAAACAGACTCATTTCCTGAAGCCTTTCAGACCTAATCAGCTCACCATCACAGCGAGATCCTTCTCTGGAAACAGTACGAAGGTAACGGTTATTGGCTTTTTCAGTATAACCGCACTTGTATGGAATCCATCCTTTGGGTATGTGTGTAACAAATTAGAACTGAAAAAAATTAGATATGTATAGTCGTATGCAAATGTTTGTACACCCCCAGGCAAATGACATGTTTTGTTAAATTTCTAAGTAAAATATGCGTTAACTTTTGCAATGGCTACGTTTCCTGTCCACAATTTTCAGTACATTAAAACCAACAAATAAAGAGCTATTGTGCATTAAAATATGCTCTATAGAAGATGTGTTGACTTATTTTCACTTAGAAAATAAAAAAAAAGTCGTTTGACTGGGGCACACAAACTTTTGCACACTGCATATAGTCTGCACTGAAAAGGCAATGTGTCATTTAGTCATCATTTTCAACTGAATAAAATATATCACAATTATATATCACAAATAAAATAGCACAATTTTTGGCAAAAGCTAGTAAACAGAAAGACAAAATGTGGATGATATGTGGAAATTCTGTTGAGTGAATCAAGTAAATTCAATATTTTCAGTATGTATGAAACATGAACAAAAGCTATATTATGGGCGAGTGGGACAAACCCTAAAGTAGGATAAATGTAGAATGGTTTTTCTTTTGTTGTTAAACAGGTCAAAGTAAAACGTGCTTTTGGTCATCTTCTCATAATTCCACAGCACCATCATCAGCAATCAGATATTTCTCAAGATTCACTTTGAGGAAGTTGCATGTCACAGTGATAAAATTCACACGTATATTATTTTAGTCACCATAATACAGCATTATTAATAATTCATAGGCTAGAGTACAGCCTCCACATGGGGGGGTTAGTTTTAACAACTAAAACCCTCAAAGTAAATAATGATAGAAATACAAAACAGCTATGCAAAACAGGCTATAGATACAATACAGATAAATAGATAAAATACAGATTCAGGTTTATAGTGCTGATATTTGCCGAGTCAAACATAAATTTCCCTTTTATTTTCACTAATTTTCACTAAAACAACATTTAGTGTAATTCAAAATGAAGAACTGTGAAAACTCTTCATTATGGAGATTTTTGGAAGCTGAAAAACACTGACATCACGCTGTTAACTTGCGTGTGCCTACTTCTGTTTTCACTTCCCGAATGTGCAGAACCATCTGAAATACGAGGGACAGCTAGGTCATTTCTGTTTACTCTGCAGTTTGGGGGTTGATAACAAGTTTGCAACTGAACTTAGTTTCCTTTGTGCGCAGGATTCAGAATCTGCTGCACTCAGTTCTTGTTAAAGGACTGTCGCCCTGCAAATATTACAAATATTGTAGTGATACGTGACTTACAAGAAAAAAGAAGAAAAAGCCCTACTCAATCATTCAAAGCTAAAAAAGTGACTTGTTTGTCTAATCAGGCTTCTCTCAGTGTTTTAGAGGTGGGGGTGTAGCTATGGCAAACCCCACTGTGTCAAGTGATAGATTTTGTCCGTTTTAAGCTTTTATTTTCTGGCAGGAATTGGACTTTGAATCTTTGTGAGATATTAAATTACGTAGGCCATCTATCAAGCCTATTGTGAGTGTAAAGCAGTGCCGATACTTTGTTTGAAAAGCTCTGCTTCTGCATCTTGGTTTATATTTTGCATTTAGATATTATCGCCCCCTGCTGGGATGACATGCTCAAGTGAGTATTTTTGCAATTTGTGGGATTTCTGAAAATGGTGTTGGTGTAGACAAAGTTTTTTTTTTAAAAAAAAACTCCAAAAAACTTTTTTTTTTAAACAAAATCCACATAAATGTGGACGAGGCCTTAATTTGATGCATACATTTTTACGTATTCTTGTTGGAAATCTTGTCTGATTCAAACAACAGCAAAACAGGCTGTGTAGAATTAATAGTGTTTTGTATTGAATTACCAGTATTGATTTACTTTTACAACTAGCCCCTCCGTCCATCACCCCCTAAAATCTCAGGCTTATTACACACTAAGGCTTATTATTCAGTAACTACAGGGACTTCAATACAAACTGGCTGAGCTGTTCTTAGGTTATTGAAGTGTGTGATAAAGCTTTGGGTCCCTCGGCAGGCCCTGGCCGTTTAAGGGGCTAAACAAAGAATGAATGTTGCACAAATACTTTTACAGTTATTTACCAGAAAACAGAAGGCGTGATGCTGTGCCCTGCTTTCCCGTACGGACTGAAAATTTGAATCTCCAATTGTAAACGGTTTGTGGTTGGACAGTCACGGTAGAAGTTCAACTTCAGTTGTGAAAGTCATCAAACCGAGCTCTTTCTGTCCTTCAGCTCTTTCGTTTCCTTTGTCTAGTCCTATTTCCCAATATGCTGTCTGCATTTCGGCATAGACTGATAAAGTCCTTATGGCCGACGCACAGAAGTGTGTTTTCAAACGGCAGTTAGGAATGTACACCATATTGTCCAAAAGTATCCAGACAGAATGAAGAATGGTGCTTGTATAGTTAAATTTGTTATAACTATTAGCTGATTGTTGGGTCACCTACACTATGTGTCCAATAGTGTCCAGACAGCTCTTCTAATTAGTGAGTTCACTGCTTTAAGGTGCCCCCATTGCTGACAGTGGCGTACGAGTGCGCACAGCTTGCATCTCCATAGAAAAACACTGACCAGTTTTGATGTAATATGATTTAAGTAGCTAATGGAGCATGTGCTGTATATGGTTCTATATAGTACCATATACAGAACCATGTATATGGTTCTATATAGTACCTTTTGAAAATGGTTCTAAACACTTGATGATGTTTTGAAGTCTAAACACTTGATGATGAACACAATGATGGTTCTTCAGGGGCTCATAAGTAAAGAAAATGGTTCTATATAGAGCCATGAACACCCAAAGAACCCTTTGCATGATTAAAGGTTTCTTTGCATCATTTTATTTAGATTGATGGTGAATGTGCTGTAGATGGTTCTTTACAGCACCAAAAAGGGTTCTTCTATTGTGACAATAGAAGCTTGTAACCAAAGAAAAACCCTTTTTGGTGCTATATAGAACCATTTTCAAAAAGGTTCTATATAGAACCATCTACGGCGCATTCTCCATCAATCTGAAGAGCCCTTTCACAATGCAAAGAACCTAATCATGCAAAGGGTTCTGTAAGTGTTCATGGTTCTGTATAGAACCATTTTCTTTACTAAAGAACCCTTGAAGAACCATCATTTTTAAGAACATAGCACCAACAAGGGTTCTGCTAATGTTACAATGTCAAGCTTGCACTAATAGAACAATTTTTGGTGCTGTATAGAACCATTTTCATAAAGGTTTACATAGAACCATCTAAAGCACTTTCTCCATCAATCTGAAGAACCGTTTCACAATGCAAAGAACCCTTTAATCATGCAAAGGGTTCTTTGAGTGTTCATGGCTGTATATCATTTTCTTTACTAAAGAACCCTTGAAGAACGAGCATCACACAGTAATGTAGAACAGTGTGTAGAACCATTTTAAAAAAGAACGAGACATACCACATTCTCCATCAGTCTGAAGAAGCATTTTGCTTTGCAAAGAACCATTTGAACATGCAAATGGTTCTATATACAACTCACGGTTCTAAATAAAATCATTGCCTTTACTTAAGAACCATGTTTTTAAGAGTATATCTGTCCAAAAGTGTCCAGACAGCTCTTCTAATTAGTGAATTCAGTGCTTTAAGGTGCCCCCATTGCTGAAAGTGGTGTATAAGTGAGCACAGCTTGCATTATCTCCATGGAAAAGCACTGACCAGTGGAATGAGCAGCCACACCTGAGCCATACCCAATGCCAAGCGTGGGCTAGAGGGGTATAAAGCCCCCCAGCACTGGGCTGTGGAGCAGTGGAACTGCGTTCTCTGGAGTGATGGAGCTCCATGCAGTACCTTTGGGATGAGTTGCAGATCCAGAGCTGATCATCCAACATCAGTACCTGACCTCACTAATGGTCTTGTGAATGCTGAATGCAATCAAATCCTCACAGCAATGTTCTAACATCTAGTGTAAAGCCTTCCCAGAAGAGAAGAGGCTGTTACTGCAGCAAAAGGGGAACAAACTCTCTATTAATACCCCTCATTTCAGAAGAAGCGCTGGATGAACTTAAAAAAAAAAAGTTAAAAAAAAAGAAAAGTTAAAACCCGGCTTCCCTTTACACTGTATGAACATGCCACGATGAACGGACCAATAGAAACGGCCCAAACTGACTTTAATTTGTAGCACCCATGTTCTGTACTATTTAGAATATTTTATTTTTTCCTTGAGATCCACATTTGTGTTGTTTTACGTAGCAAAAACAGTCATAAATAATTTTTACACAACCGTTTTCAGACCTATCCCTTAATTTATCCCTTATTTAAATTAAACAAGCTGCGTTTCTGCACCTTCAGGACCAACGTATGCAAATGAGTTCTCCTCTGATTGGCTGTGCCTCATTCAAAAAGCTGCCCACTCATTATAACTTCAGTAAACTGTAAACAGCTGTAGGCTGAATAGTTGCACATATATAGATGGGTTGGTTTGTGATGTCACAACAAAACAGCGGCAGCTTTGTTTTTTGTCATGGACTGTATGGCAGGTTTTGAAACTTCAACGTACTCAGCATCAATGTTTACATACTTCAAAGAACCCCTTTATTTTATAAAATAAAATTAAAAATGGAATGAAAATTTAGTTTTCATGATATGGGCCTGTAAACTGTGTTATATTAATGTACACTGAAGTAAAGAATGTTTTCTCCAGCTCCTATAAAGTGGTTTACTGCTTTTAAAATGTATTGATTAAGGATAGTCTATTTATTTATTTATTTGTTTATTGCTTTGGTTTTGCTTTGATTCCTTTGCTTTTGGGTTACGTCTCTTTTTTTCCCCAAAAAAATGTGTGCAATCAAATTTCCCTTTAAACAACTTGAACCACTTCCCTTCACTGTGTTCGTGCGCTCGCCGAGGATTCTACTGCTGGGGTCCTCACTTCTCCTTTCTCTCTCCATCTCTCTCTCTCTCTCTCTCTCTCTCTCTCTCTCTCTCTCTTTCTGTCCACTTCTTACCAGACAGCCAAAGGAGAGACAAGACGAGTGAATTCCACCAGCTCTTGGATGACCCATCTTCACAATGGAAATGACAACTACTGAAGACTATGTAAGTGTCGATCCATTCACTCGAGCAGTCGTGACTTTTATCGAACTTTCAGGCTTTTATTTTGTAGACGTCTGTGGATTAGTGTTGTGTGCAAAAGTTTGCACCCCTGGTCAAATAATATGCTGTGGTTGTTTTTCTAAGTAAAAATAAGCTACACATCCTCTACAGAGAACACACATCTTCACATTTTAGTGCACAATTACTGTTTATTTACTGAATTTAACATATTGGGGGAAAAACTAAACATAAATTAAGGCCTGTGCAAAAGTAATGGCACATTTTACTTCGAAAATCATCAGAACAGATCATTGGACGGGGGTGGTGTCCACAATTTTGCATACGACTGTGTGAGTGACCTACTGCACTGTGCAAAAACATCAGCCAAGAAAGCAATTTAATGTATAGCAACATCTTTTTGAGTTAATTTTGTGTGCTACTGTGTCGATTATGCGCTAAAAGTGACACGAAATTGCTGGAATTCCACAGATTTCTGCATAATTGAATCGTTGACGTAATCATTAATCGTCTTAACGACTTAATTGTACGGATGTTTTGAAACACTGGTGGAATTCCCCTTTTAAGGACACAGTGTGCTGTTGACACATCTGTTTTGAGAGCGCAGGTTCAGTTCCTGTTCTCTTCAATGCAGCTCCAGCCACTGCATGGATTTGGTCAATTCCATCAGCAGCATATTTAATTTAGAGAAGAATTACACTGAATTTTCTAAATTCGTGTGAGATGTAATCATTAAGATGTTCCAGAGAGTCTAAATCGCCGTCAGAGGACAAAAAGGTCACTTTACAGAAGAAGAAAAAACCTTCTTAATTTATAATGTAAGAAATTGATAGAGAAATTGATTATTTCAAGTTATTTTGGTGCATTTCTATTTGTCCATCACAAAATTTTGACACAAATAGTAAAATACAACGATACAAGGTTTTCGTCTGCTGTCGGAAGAAAACCTATTATCTCCATTTTTTCAGTTTTTGACGTATTTTGAAAATGCATGTTGTTCTTTACATTGTGTGTAAATTTTATTAAGAATGGACCAAAAGTACTTGGAAAACTGTCTGGTTCCATTGACTTACATTAAAAGAAAAGTATGTTTTTGGGCTCCCGAGTGGTGCAACCATCTAAGCGTCATCAGGAGATCGCTAGTTCGATCCCTGGTAATGCTACAGCCATCCATGGCCAGGAGTCCAAGAGAGCACAGTTGTCTTCGCTCTCTCTGGGTGGGTAGGATGGCCCCCCTCTTTCCCCAACACTAACACAATGCTAGTCAGCGCAGACTTCTGTTAGCTGACGTAACAGATCTGACGGTTGGTGCTTTCCTCCGAACGTGTCAGCTGCTAGCTTTCACCCTCCTAGCGCTAGTAGTATCATGTGATTGGGGGAGTTCTAGCTAGTGGGTGGACCCTGACTTGTGGGTTAACTCAGATTAGGCGACGATTTGGTTTGCAAACACCTAATAGAGCATAGACCAATACCATGAGTCTGACATGTTTTGGCTGCTAATTGAGGATCATAATTAATGCACTAAACTAATATTACCTACTATCTAGTTGATAATATTTACTGCAAAGTTCCTAAGGAAACCTCTGCAGTCTAACCAGACACTGTTCTTTTTCTGCCTTAGGGATTCTCTGCAGACTATCCATTTTTCACAGAAGACAATGAATTTGCTGCCCCCTGCAGCCTAAATAAGGTATGGCACTTTACCCAAATCTACGCTCCAGTGGTCTACGTCCTGGTCTTCATATTGGCCTTGGTGGGGAATACGCTAGTACTGTGCGTGGTCCGCCGCTACCGACGATCCCGCCACTCCCCCTGTTCCTTTTCCCTCACCGACACTTTCCTGCTGCACCTGGCCGTCTCCGACCTCCTCCTGGCCATGATCCTGCCATTCTTTGCTGTCCAGTGGACCCATGAGTGGGTGTTTGGGGTTGGAGTCTGCAAGGTGGCAGGGGCCCTATTTTCCCTGAACATTTACTGCGGCGTGCTCTTCTTAGCCTGCATCAGCTTCGACCGCTACCTAGCCATCGTCCATGCTGTCCAAACTGGCTGGAGGCGCAACACCTGCCTGGCCCAGATGGCCTGCGCAGTAATCTGGGTCTGCTGCTTGGGCTTATCCGCGGTGGACATCCAGTTCCGGACTGTGGTGCGTCTTCCAGGGAACGATCGATCGGTGTGCCTCATAGACTATTCAACAGGAAATTCAGAGAAGTGGCAGCTTGCTATGCAACTGCTAAACCTTATCTTGGGCTTTGGGCTCCCCCTGTTGGTCATGCTGTACTGCTACATCCGCATCTTCCGGTCGCTTTGCAGCACCAGCTCTCGGCGGCAGAAGAGACGCTCCCTCAGACTCATCATCACTCTGGTGACGGTCTTCCTGGTCTGCTGGGCGCCCTACAATGCTCTGAAGATGACAGACAGTCTGCTAAGGCTGGGGTTGATTACTCAAAGCTGTAGCTTGAACCATGTGTTGGACATTGGCATCGTGGTGACGGAGAGTTTGGGACTGTCCCACTGCGCCTTCAACCCTCTGCTCTACGGCTTTGTGGGCGTCAAGTTCCGCCGCGAGCTCGCTCAGATGTGCAAGGCGCTGCTGGGGTGCGTCGGCCTGCCCAAGTGGACTCAGAGTCAAGGGCCAAGCCGCAGGACAACAGGCTCCTTCAGCTCCGTGGACAGCGAGAACACCTCCTACTTCTCTGTGATGGCCTAAGATCAAGGAGTGTTGAGCAAATAGAGAGTATTACACAAGTGGTCATCTATGGAGGTAGAGGGCAAAAATAGGGACACAGAAAAGGGCAATGATGGACACTTGTGGTGCCTAGGAGGCACTGCAGCTATCCCTAAAATATGCTTAGCAATTTCCAGGAATTCAGGTAAAATTAGCATACTGTTCTCAATCACAGCACTGTTTAAAAAATCTTTTTTTGTTTGCTTTTTTTACAGTGGCAGCTGCCTTTTACATTGTACAAATATTTCATGAAGTAATGGTGCAAAATTACATAAATTACCAGTATTATTTAAGTAGCTTGCTTTGCTTGTATAGTTGCTTGCAAGGGTATAAAGGGTATAAAGACCCCCCAGCAAAGGGCTGTGGCGCAGTGGAACTGTGTTGTCAGGAGTCATGGAGCTCCATCCGATACCTTTGGGATGAGTTGGAGTTCCAGAACTGACCATCCGACATCATTACCTGATCTCACGAATGCTCTTGTGGCTGAATGCAATCAAATCCTCACAGCAATGTTCCAACAGCTAGTGTAAAGCCGTCCCAGAAGAGTAGAGGCTGTTACTGCAGCAAAGGTGGAAAGATTCCTTATGAATATATTGAATATCCTTGCCTAAAGCCTAAAGCATCTAATTTGGCTAACTAGCTTCCTTGTTTGTTAGCTTAACTTACTGGCTAACAATAAATGATATACTGCACTGTTCTGTGTGCAGACTTTCACAGAAATGTGAACACTTACACAGAATCATGTACAGAGTCATTAAAAGGTTCAGTTTTTTGTCTTAAGAGTGAAGATATCAACATAAACAATCGTGGAAGGTAGCATAAATACTGGTACCATTAGTGTCAGCTTCCTGACTAGCTATATCAGCTTTGTGACTGCTTTATGAAGTAATTATTCCAGAAAAACATACAAATTGAGACATCAACATGTTCTAGTTTACATTTTGGTCCATTTGGTGATGAAATAGTGACTTTGTCACCAGAAAGAGTGAAGAATATGCTAACGTTTTGTTGCCTTCAGCTGCAAGTGTTACACAGGAGCACAATCTTGAGTACTTTTAGGTCCTGTTGGTACTAATCATGAGCAGGTACCAAAAACCATACAACTGGAACCTTCAGTACTGGGCCAATGGGCAATGGAAAACATGGAGAACAGTTTTTTGGTGCTAAACGCTTCACTACTGTGTACAGTGGAAAAGGAGTTCTCTATGTATGGAATGTATAGATTTTTTTAATGGTTCTATATACCAGCCATTGTTACAGTAGTGTTTGTTGGTACTATGTAGAGCCCTTCCTGCCAGTCGTGTAGCTGATGTGTTTTGAATGTTTGGCCTGTACATCGATTAACTGAACTGCTAATTCATAGGCGGTATTACAAACTCCTGCATGTTTTTCTTTGCCTGGTTGTGTAATGTCGTTATATGGCTGTGGGCTTTCTTTGCCTGGTAGTGAACTACATACAATCAAAGAAGTGGTTTCTTTGGCTGTGGCACGGTGTTGATGACAGTCATTTGGCCTGTGGGAGAGGATTTTGTCAGAGATGGTTGGTATGAAGCTTGGAAGTAATGACTTAGTCTGTTATGAAAAGACTAGTATGTCTATTATGAGTCATTGTTTTTCAGTGCAACCAAAAGCTACAGTTAAAGCTAGTTTATCATTTTTATATATCCAAGACTGCGTTTTATTATTTGAAAAACATAAATGATATGGCCAAAAGTATGTGGACACCCAACCATTATACCTATATAAGCTTTTTTTTGGATATCTCATTGGGCATTAATATGGAGTTGGCCCCCCTTTGCAGCTATAACAGTCTCCACTCTTCTGGTTAGGCTTTCAAAGATTTTGGAGAGTGTCTGTGGGAATTTGTGCCCATTCGGTCAAAAGAGCATTTGTGAGGTCAGGCACTGATGTTGGATGAGAGGGTCTGGCTCACGATTGACTTTCCAGTTCATTCCAAAGGTGTTCAGTGGGGTTGAGGTCAGGGCTCTGGAGCTCAGGGTCACATTCATGTTCTAACATGACTTCCCCAAACTGCTGCCCGAAGTTGGAAGCATATAAAAATCTATAATGTGTTTATAGGCTATAGCATTAACGTAATCCTTCATTGGAACTATAAAGCCTGAAAAACAGCTCATTATCCCTCCTCCACCAAACTTTACTGTTGGCACTATACATTCTGGTAGGTAGCGTTCCCCTGGCATCCGCTAATCCCAGATTCATCTATCAGACTGACAGGTAGTGAAGTGTGATTCATCACTCCAGAGAACGTGTTTGCACTGCTCCAGAGTCCAGTGACAGTGACTTTACGCTGCTCCAGCCGACGCTTGGCATTGCGCACAGTAATCTTAGGCTTGTGTGCAGCTGCTCAGCCATGGAATTTGCATCCTGAGGCAGTTTGGAGTGCCATAGCAAGTGATGCAACTGAGAATAAGCAATTTTTATGTGCTATGGTCTTCAGCGCTGGCTGGTCTCAATCTGAAACACACTCAATAATTAAGAGGTATTAATTAATTAATACTTAATACTTTTGACCATATAGTGTACCTAAAATGAAGACCCCTAGAAGATGCTGAGAAAGTTCATGCTTCCATATTTTCAACAGATTGACTACTGTAGCGTGTTGCCCTGCACTGTAAAAAATACTGTAAATTTACTGTAATTTACTAGCAGGAGTTGAGAGGTAGTTTCTGAGAGAGGTAGATTAAGCTCGAGCTGTACAGTATTAAACTCAACACGGGAAAGTGAACATTCACCACCGTTAGCTTGATGCTGTTATGACTGCAAATCTCATAGCTAGCTAAAATCAGCGTTATCGTAGCAGTGCTAATCATATACTTACAAAGGAAAAAGATACCTACAAAGTGAAAGCTCCTACATTAAAATCTGCTAGGTAAGCTAGCATACTATTAGCTTGCTAGCTAGCTACCTAGGCTTTAACTAACTTTACCACTAGTTAAGGACAGAATTACAGTATTTGTGCAGGTTCTCAGATATTAATGCAGCGCAGCAGCTTTTTAACATGTAAATAATTAAAAACAAAAAACAAAAAAATGCTCTGAAGATGATGATCATTTGCAGCTTCAGGAAAGCAAGTTTGATGGCTAGTTTAACATTTAACATTTAAGTACAGTATAAACACATTTAAAGGCTTGCTGGCTTGAGTGCAGTCCATTATTACTCTATTATTGTAGAAATTTAGAAATGTATGTAGAAATTATGTAGAAATTAAGTTTGCACTGTCAGTTAAGGCCTTGCTTATGACATTTGAAGCTCCTAATAGCCTACATCACGCATTTCTTACAGATCTGTTTATACATTGTAGCTCATTTAGATAAATGTTACTGCAAACTCCTAGGATCTCTCACAGCTCAGTTGGTGGAATATCTTTTACATACACAGTTTCAACAGCATTAAGAATGGAAGCTCATAGATGTTTTCAATCCAGATTAAAAACATATTAGTTAAGGCCAACATAGGCCTAGAAGTATTGTGGCTGATTTTCTATTGTTTGTAAATGTGGTGTGGTGTTCAACTTTGTAAATGAAAAATGTTACATGAATAAAGATTTATTTTTATTATTAGTTCAACCTGCCAGATTGTATGTCTATATGAGGTCTGTATGACGACATAGGCTCCTTCTCAGCCTCAGCAATGTGTTATTACTTTAAAATCTTTTGTAAATTGTTAGAAATCCAAATCAAAGCTACCCTGCTCTGTATTTTTTTTATTTAAGACAATTGTGCAGATCAGTCCAAAACTGATATATTTACATGCATTTTTCACATATTTTTTAAATCTCATAACACAGGAGGTGCAGAGCATAGGGGTGCCCAAACTTTGTCTTGGGGGGGGGGGTTCAAAATGCAATGTTTATGGTAGGCCGAGGGACAGAAAGACAATCTACAAATAAACAAGGTAGGTTTCCAATTTCCCAACAGTTAAAGTTTTATTTCATAAAATTACCTAAAATGATCTCTTATTGTGTGAGGAGGTTGGGGTCAGGGTAACTTTCTGGTGGACAAAATTAAAGTCCACATGGGCCAGCGTTGCGCAGCCCTGCTGTAGCCCATCTGTTAATGCACTATATCAGCCCCCCTCTGCCCTTTCCACCAATGGAAAAAGACCATCACAGGACCACCACTGACCGGATATTTTGTAGGTGATGGAGTTTTTAAACACTGTGTGCACTTGTGTTCCACTCCACACCAACCTTCTTGTTCCACCTTGTAGGCGTACAGTTAAAGGGGAACTCCACTGAATTTTTTTCAAAGCTTCGGCATTATTCAGTAGTTGAGATGTAAACAAAGTCATGCATGTATCCCTCCACCGTGAATGGATTTAATAATCTCTCAGACATCATGCAGTGTATTCATTAGCATTTTTTTTAAATAATTTTCTGTGAGGGAGCTTTTAGAGGTGGACGTCTGGTTCCTATCACCACCACCGTGAACAGTTCTGACTCGGTAAGTTTCTCTAGAACAGAGCGTTTCACACCAAACCACTCTGAATGACTCTGTTTACATCTTAACCACTTAATTATTCAGAAATTTTGAAAAATTGGTGGCTTTTCCCTCTAAAGGGTGCATATCGTGGAAAAGCAAATTTCCATTATATGCAACCTCCAGTGCCTCTCATTCACACTGAAGTTATAAAGGGGGTCAATCAACTCAATCAAATCAGAGCTCATTTACATATATCAGTCTTAAAGGCACAGTAACAAAAACAGCCTGTTTAACTGTAAGGGATACAGAGAGGTTGGAAAATGGTTGTGTAAAAATGAATTATGACTGTTTTTGGTACACAAAACCACACAAATTCTAAGTTGACGTCAAGGGAAAAAGAAGAATGCAAAAAGATTTAGGACACTGGCCCCTCAGCTCTTTGGTTTCTGACCACAGAGCTGCTCTCGGCTAATTTGTTTTCACGCAGTAACAGATGGGCTTCAGTCTGTAACTGTAAAGCTACAAAGTGCATATATATGCAGGTGTTTCTGATAAAATGGCCAGTGAGTTTAAGTATTTCATGCAGTTTTAAAGACAACATTTCAACAGTAACTCATCGTCTTTCCTGTCAGTCACATGATAATATTACCACTCTAATGTGGCTTTTAGTTCTTTCTTCTCTTATTTGGCAGATCAGCTTACATTTCTCCTCCACTTTCTTACCAATAGTTCTGCTCTGGTAAACTTCTGGTAAAGACCAAATTCTACTATGATGGTGCATCATCCAAAGACGTGCTGAGGGTTTTGTGGCGTTGAACAGGAACTGAAACCGTTCTCAGGCTGAGCAAGGCTTACTTTTCTCTCTTCTTCTTTTAACGTATCCTGGCACGCCAAGAAGCTTAGTCATCAGTTTTTACCCAAGCGCTCTTCTTCTTCTTTATCTGAAGTCTGATTTTTTATCAGCTAAAACCACAATGGAGAATCGAGAAGCTGCTAGACGTGCAGAGCTGAGTCTGAGGAGGGATGTGAGGGGAAATCAAAAACCACCCCCCCCCACCATGAGCAACTGACCTATAAACAATACAAAAGTATTGGGACACCTCGACAGCTTTTATGATCTCATTCTAAATCCATAGGCATTAATATGGAGTTGGTCCCACTTTGCTGCTTAACAGCTTCCACTCTTTTAGGAAGCTTTCTACAAGATTTTGGAGAATGAATTACTAATGAAACTGTCACTACTGACACATTTTGCAAAGTTTCAGTAGTGTTATGATTTTTTGGGAGTGAAAAAAATCAAAATGGAGTGTTTAACCATTTATTTAAATAATAAACCTTATTAAACATAATTCAGTAGAATGATTCTTCTATCATCCCACTGGTTCTGGTTCTGAGTTTGCTCAACTTCACGTCTACCTTTATTTTCATTTCTAGGCCTTCAAGCTTCGCTTAACATAAATTTGCTTGTCATGCTTGTATGTAGTCTTATCACTGTGATCGCTAAATGAGTGGTTTGCAAGTTTAAGTCTGAGGCCAGATGACTAATCAAAGATCAGGTATGTTGACAATGCAGCAGTAGTGCAGAAACAATCTGCACAGCTTTTGTTCATTTTGTAGTAACCCATTTTATTAAAGTCTTTATATTTAACGTAATGTTATACACTGTGTCCAGATTTTCTTGATAAGCTGTTTGTTGAATATTTTTCTGTCAATTTTAATACACAATTTCTATTTATTTGAGTTCTGGAAAGCTGGTTATCCAGCTCTGAGGAGCTGAACAAAGCTGGTCTACCAGGTCTAACCAGCTGGCCATGCAGGTCATCCAGCTCTGAGGAGCTGAACAAAGCTGGTCTACCAGCTCTAACCAGTTGGCCATGCAGGTCATCCAGCTCTGAGGAGCTGAACAAAGCTGGTCTACCAGCTCTAACCAGTTGGCCATGCAGGTCGTCCAGCTCTGAGGAGCTGAACAAAGCTGGTCATCCAGCTCTGAGGAGCTGAACAAAGCTGGTCTACCAGCTCTAAACAGTTGGCCATGCAGGTCATCCAGCTCTGAGGAGCTGAACAAAGCTGGTCTACCAGCTCTAACCAGTTGGCCATGCAGGTCATCCAGCTCTGAGGAGCTGAACAAAGCTGGTCTACCAGCTCTAACCAGCTGGCCAAGCAGGTCATCCAGCTCTGAGGAGCTGAACAAAGCTGGTCTACCAGCTCTAACCAGCTGGTCAAGCAGGTCATCCAGCACTGAAGAGCTGAACAAGGTGGTCAACCAGCTAAATCAGCTTAGAATTTAAGCTGTTTTTCAGCAGGTGTTAGGTGGTGTTGCTATAGTTTTGCTGCTGGGTGGTTGACAGAGGGAGACCTAAGAGTTTAACCTAATTAAATAGGGGAGAAAATGTATAGATTGACATAAAACAGTGCAAAATGCTAGTTTTTTTTATTGTTTCAATGTGATTGTGCTGTGACTGACAAAGTATTCTCGTTAGGAGTAATCCCCTCTGCTAAAATCTAAAATGAGGTGTTTTTGCACATTTTATTCAGGAAATGCGGTTGTGGTGGTCTGCACGCTTGTTCAGAGAGATGTTTGAAAAAGAAACGCAGAAATATGAAAGTGTGTTAGCCGTTACGGAAAAACCCAGAGAAAAGCCCTATTAATAGTACAGTTCTCCTTTACACATTCGCTTGATATCAATAAGAAAAATAGAAAAAAATATGACAAGACACTTCAAATCATCGCTTATTAAATGATTTTTAGCAACCTTTCTGTCAGGTCTTCTAATAACATTTACACTTATTTCTCTCACCACAGTTCTCAGCATCACCACAGCTCAGGAAGCCACACCACAACGACATGTCACTGTGTGGTGGTGGGCGGTGGGGGGT